GAGGGCGACAAAGTGAGACTCTGTCTCCAAAAAAAAAAGAGAGAAAGAAAGTGGTTTTCTAAAAATTTTTGTGTCAAAATCAGCCAACCTTGTCAGAGGCCGCAGGGATGAGAGGAAGGACGAACACCTTCCCTGTGGATGCCCCTTCCTCCCTCTTTCTTGACTCTACCAGCATGAGGCTGGCCACCATGCACCTCTGCACACCACCTTTGCCCTGTGTGTACCCAGGGGTATGGCCAGGGCCAGGCACATGGACACAGACAATTCAGGTGGGGCCTCGTTCATATCTACAGATGATCAGGAGTGGCTTCAATAATGCACCTGGCATTCTGGCTCTACACTTTGATAAAACCTCTATATTACACAATTTGGCCTCTTCGTGACTGGGGAAAGCTGTAACAAAACCAACAGGCAGATATAGACATCCACACACATGCTCTTGGTGTGCAGTTGAAACCGTAACTCACCCCTAGACCAGAGGAAAACTCAGATGCATGCAGCTTCTTGGCGGTCCTTGAGACACCTGGATCCAGGGCTCGCCAGCCGGTACCCCAAGAATGGTGCTTTTCTGGGCAGTGAAAACGCCAGCGTTCAGGAGGAAGATGGCCTGGATGTGCCAGACACCCTGCCAACCCCACTGACCAGGCCACAGCACGCTGCGGGCCACATAGTTTCTTTGAGTCTATTTTCTTCTCCATAAAAGGAACTATTTTTTTGAAAGTATTCCCTGGCTGAAGTCCTTTGTCCTCCCTTGGAAAGTTTATTAAATGAAAAATGGAGACACGTGAAAGATAAAATAAAAAGCCTCCATGGGGCAGCGCCTGTGGCTCAAAGGAGTAGGGCGCCGGCCCCATATACCGGAGGTGGTGGGTTCAAACCCAGCCCTGGCCAAAAACTGCAAAAAAAAAAAAAAAAAAGTTAAAAAAGCCCTTCATGGCCACTGCCCATGTGCTGTGTACACTGAGTCTGTCATGAACAGCGGCTCACCTTTGGCTCAGACTGTTTCTCCATGAGGTCTAGCCAGCCAGGGGGAGTGCGCTGGAAACTTCCTCACCCTACCCCCAACTGAATTCACCAGGGTGACACAGAAGCAGGGTTGTCAGTATGTGTGTGGTCACACGCACAGCAGTGATGGCACCACAGCCGCAGAGAAGTTTTCACAGAGATTTATTTTCAAGCATGGAGATGACTCTGCACTGAGAGTTCTACACTGGCAATGGCTACATGTGCATTCTGGTCGGAGGGATGCACAGTGTGACAGTGAGCAGAGTAAACACATTCATGGCGCTCAGCAGCATTTTAAGGTGAGACTGGACATTTCAATATCGCAGGAAGTTCCTGCTTACCATCCGCTCCTTGTGTTCAGGAAATGCTTGTTGAGACTGGTTAGTCTGGTTGGTGGGACCTGGACATGGCAGTGGGGCTCAGCAAGAGCCACAACGGAGAAGCCTGTTCCAAGTCAGGCTTGCTCCATTCCCAGCCTGACCACTTAGGGAGAATCTCTCTGCATTGCCCCCCAAAAAAGAAAACGACATCTGTACGGTAACATGCGCACTGCGGCCAGGTCCAGCCGTGGGCCACCGTCTGGTGGATGTGCAGGACAGAGGAGTCTGCGTCCCTGGTTAGGACCAGAGTGATAGGCAGGTACGAACATGGCGCTAGCACCTTCCCCGTTGTCCAGTTTTTGTACTTTTCATACAAAGATTTTTTGCAAAATGACAGTACCTTGAAAAATAAAGTCATTTAAAGAGCAAAGCAGTGGTATAAGATATCAATGTAAGTATAATGGCTAACAGTGACACGAGTGTTTGGTCTATACTTGACATTGGCAAATGCTGCAGATATAAGGCTGACATCAATTTAAATGGTGAAAAGTATATATAAACAAAATCTTTTTTTCAAACCATTTTCCCTTTTTGTGAGTTACAGCTCACCTTCTCATGCATCCCAAAGAACCAAGGAAAACAAGGTCAGTTCTGAGTTTAGCTGAGTTCTTCTCTCCCAAGAAAGTCAAGTATTCTTCCCGTCTCATAAAGGTGAACATGTTGAGGTATTTATTTTTAATGAGATGGTACCGTGATTAATTTTCACCTTCCCCATCTTTCTAAAACCAAACCTCTTAGGCTCTGGATGGAAAAATCCAGACAACGCCTCACTTAATCTAGCTAATAAAGGCCTGGTGACAAGGTCTCTGTGATGGGTTAGGCTGTCCCAGTAATGAGCAAGATTCATGGAACTGCAGAGTCACAGGGACCTTAAGAACTATCCTCGAATTCATCCTTCCCTCCAAGCTTCACTCTCTTTCAACATCTCCAACGAGGGGCTATTTCCTGCCTATAAGCTCCCTGGCATGGCAAATGCAAGGAACGGTTCCCAGGGTTCCCTTTCCAATTTAGGGAGACCTAATTTGCAGACAGCTCTTTCATGTGTAGGCTTTTTGGGGGAAAAGGATAACGTTTAAAGGCAAAAATACAAACTAACCACCCTGAGGGTTGGTATGTGGTTCCTGGTTGTAAAGCTGAGCTGAAATTTAAACCTGAAGACAGATGGTTCCGAATTCAGTTATAGACAAATGATACTCGGGTCTAGAAAGAAAAAGGTAAATGATGCAGCAAGAAAGAAGAGAGCAGGCCAAGCCCTGCACACTGCTCCAGCCTGGACAGGGACGCTCTCCCAGGCAGAGGCTGGTTGTGTACTTTTTATTGTAACTCAACTGAGAAAAATGGTTCCCTTCTGCCTGGCAAGTGCTGCTGTGCCAGGATTTGCTGCATTGTACTGAAATAATGTTACCTGGGTGAGCAGGAAGCAGAGGCAGCAGCTGCCCGTGTCTGTGCCCAAACACAGCACTGCCTGTCAGGGCCATGCCACATGCAGCTAGGACAGTCCCCTCCTGCCACAGGTCTGAGTCTTGCCTGTCCCAAAGCCGAGCAGCCGAGCCCTGCCCACCCACAGCACTGGGCTGGGAGTCTTGCAGGCCATGTGCCATGCACACAATGGTGTCCTGCTCCAGTGGGAGCCTGTGTACCCAGAGGCTGAAAATCAGTTACCATGGGTCACTTTTCAGCAACTCTAGGGATTCAAAAGAAAAACCACCCTAGTGCTGGCTATAGGGTGAACCTCTGGGCGCCCCTCATGGTGAACTCTGTGCAGCCTCCTTTTGGGGCCTCAGGGCACCTGCAGCTGACATGGAGAGCTCAGGCTCCAGGGCCTCAGGGCGCCGCAGCTGAAGGGAGAGCTGGGCTCCAAGGCCATGGGGCAATGTCCTCTGGCAGCTCTGCCCACTGTGGCCCCTCAACACCCCACACTGACTCAGCACTCAGGCCTTCGCAAACGCTGTGTCTGCAGCCTGGGACGTCATTTCTTTCCCTCTATCAACCTCTACCCCATACCCCTGCCCGCCTTATGACTCACTCCTCATCCTTTAGCACTCAGTTCACAAGTCCTATCCTCTGCAAAGCCCCTTCTTCCTCACTTGCTGGGTCCAGGGCACCCTGGGCAGTCCCTGGGGTGGGACCCCTAAGGAACCTCTATCAGTAAATTAATCACATCCTACTGAGATGAACCATTTACTCTTTGTGTGGAACCATACCCAGTGTGGAAATGGGCCTCAGAGGTCTCTAAACCCCAAGCCTACTCAGTTCAAAGTCTGCTGTACGGTGGCAGAGGGGGCTCCACAAGGGGCCGACGTGCACTAGACTCTCAAGGACTGCTAGACAATTCAGTGTTCAGAAGGGACTTAGTTTCTGTGTTTTCCAATTGAGTTAATAAATATCCACTTTCATATTCAGAAAACCTTAAAAGTGGGGAAAAGAAGCCTATTTTGGCAAAGTACATCCTTTCACTTTAAGATGCGAATCTCAGTGGACAAGAGCACTTGCATAGATACATATGAAAAGGAACCCATCTAATGGATATTCACAGCCAGTAACTCTGACCCATAGTTTAGAGCTATCTTTCTGCTTAAAAAGCAAAATTTGGGCCTTAATAGTTGACTAATGTTAAACAAAAATATGTTATGCTTCTAAAAAATGAATCTCAGGCTGGGAGCATTGACTCATACCTGTAATCCCAGCACTTTGGGAGGCTGAGACAGGAGGATATCTTGAGATCAGGGTTTGTGACTAGCCTGGACAACACAGTGAGACCCTGTCTCTAAAAAAAAAGCAGGCATGGTGATGCTTGCTTCTAGTCCTAGCTAGCTGGGAGACTGAGGCAGGAGGATCATTTGAGCCTAGGAGTTCAAAGTTGTAGTGAGCTTTGACTGTGCCACAATGCACTCCAGCCTGGGTGACAGGGCAATAACCTATCTAAAAAAACAAAAACAAAAACAAAAACAAAAATGAAATAAAGCAAAACTCAGAAGAAGGAATGGTGATGCTGGTAAGAAGGGCAGACGCTGAGGCCCAAAGCCTCCCTCTCTCAGCCTTCTGACAAGCAGGGTGAGGGGCACTCCCTGTGCCCTGGGTTCCCATTTACATTGTGCCAGTGGGGTGGTTTTTGATGGAGTACATAGGGGAAAAGTTTGTGTGGATGAAGAATTGCAATAATTACCTCCATGTATAGTGCCCACTGCCTCGTAAACACTGGGCTGGGGCCAAAACAAGTGCCAAATACACTTAGCAAGGAAGCACAAACCCAGTCCAGAGAGACCCATCTCACAGTGCTAGAAGCCACTCTTCCCACACGTGTCATTACCACGTAATGTTAAAAAAACAACTGCTCCTGGAACATTCTTTTAAAAGATTCTCTTGTTTACACTTCAGCTATATCTAACTGCCTGGTATGACTGAAGTGTTTTCTAATTGGAACATTCCAGATCCTTTCCAGTTTTGTGATTTTATGATTCTCTGAATAATTAAAAAAATGTGAAACGCATGATGGTTGATTGACCTCATAGAAGATGACCTAAGATTCTTAGTACTTAATCTCAAACCATTTTGGCTACTATGGAAATACACCCATGCAGCTGGAGGCTCCAGTAATAGTCATTTCTTTGGAGTACCCAAGTGCACATGGCTGGCTCTCTCTCCCCAGATGTAGAGTAACCCAGGCACGTGCAGTCTGCTGCCATCCCTACACAGCCGTGTGAGGCCTCGTTTGCCAGGGCCACTGCATGTTGCAGTGGTAAAGCCAAAGTACAGGCAAAGTGCAAACGCAGCAGGACGCAAGGGCTAGCCAGCTCACCTGGCCGGGGGAAGCAAGCACTGGGGCCAGCCTCTGCTCCCAAGGAGGGGAGGCTCCATCCCACAAAAGGCTTGGAAGATGCCCAACACTGGCACATTATTTCTCAAAAAGGTGGAGACACTTAATGCAAAATTCCAGAATTCAGTTTTACAAACACATGTTACACTTGGTTTGCTAAACTCTTCTCACCAAATTCAAACACCCACACAGATCAGGAGAGAGGAATGGGCAGAGCAGTGAACAGGCCGGCATGGCTGTGGTTTCCCATGACCATTCAAATCACCATACGGTGGCAAGTGGTCTCACCTGTGAAGGGCTCTGTGGCTTGGCTATAGCAGTACTGGGAGGGAGATGGTGAGAGTGGCCGGTGTGACTATAGGGGGCACAAGTAGGCCAATAGGGATAGTCAGTTTCCCAAGTGACATCTGAATTCATCTCACTGCAACTTGGCACCCACTCGAGGGCCACTGCCGGTGCTCCCATTGTGGCTCCTCTGTGTGTCCAGGCCAAGGCTCTGGGCTCCAGGGAGGGCACACAGACAGGTTTATGTCACTACTCATTTACAACCCAGTCCTCTGTTATGCACAAGTCAGCAAGTGGCTGCAGGTTCTAGGAATAGACTACAAAACAGATACCTGGATATTTTAAATGTAATTCCTTTCTTCAATCTCTCTCACAGAGCAATCAAAGAAAAGACTCAAATTAGTTGTAACAGTTTTGGGTGACAGCAAGCCAGGGTGGTGTAGACAAAGGCAGTGAAGGGACAGTGGTAACGGCTTCTGTGAGAGCGCATGAGCACACACGCATCCTTAGAGTTCTGGGCACAGGGGCCGATCTGCTCTCATGTCTCAGGTGATGGCTGCCATGTACCGTGGGCTGCGTGGGATGCAGCACACACCGGCCTTGCCCTCTCACTCTGGGGCCGCAGAACCAGCCCCAAGAAGCAGCACAGTCAGTGCTGGGAGTGGTATCCAAGGGTGGCTTGTCATACTTCCCCAGTTAGAAAAGCAATGGAGTCACCACGAGGGAATAAGACTGACTTCCAGGAAAAGAGGAACCCTAACAGGGATGATTCCAACTGCACCCAAATATTCCCATCACAACCCCAGGACGTCACAGGTGAACAAGACTGTAGAGGTAGCGGTTGGACTGGGAAGGGCAAACAATCGGCCTGTTTATCCACAGGGCTTTATTCAACCTGGGACCCTCAGAGACTGGGGACCCTTGGGTGCTCCTGACAGGTGAGGCTGGAATGAGGTGGTCCATGTAAAGTGCTTTGGATGAGGTGAGCACCGGGTACAAGCTTGCCACTGCCGCTGATTTTGAGCCTATTTTTGTAGGTGAAAATAAGATTTTTAAAAAGGACTTCAATGTCCTGAGTTGAATTACTACTTACTCAGTGATACACACACAAGAATATTCCATTTTGTTCACTTTGGTCGGATTCTCTTAGAAATAAGGACTCTTGAGGTTCATTTTCTGAAGTGCTCATTTACGTTCCCAACAGGACACAGCAGGGCTGCGGAGCTCAGCACCTTCCTGTCTCAGACCACATATAGTTTCAGTATGAAAGTATGCAAAATATTCTGACAAAATGCACTAAGATAAAAATATTTAAATATCTAGATTTTAAAGGGATAGAAAATACGGGTGAGGAATACAGCAAGATTACAATCTTGCATGTTCAAGTTTAGATGTGATGTCACACAGAAACCCACATCTCCGACACTTATCTTAGAAGCACGTAGGGTTTTGTGCATGTTGTTTTTTATGTTATGGGGGAGGGAGAGCTGTGTCAAAACAACTAAACATAAAAGGCTCAGGAGGCTCCAGCTGAATTCTAAATGATGCAGGCACTGACGGTCGAAATTCTGAGTTTCTCTAATTTTGTGATGAAGGTGGCTGGGAGCAGCTTCCTCATGGCATGTTTTTAATGCAGAAAAGCCAGAGAAAACTGAGGTAGAAATGCAAGGTCATTTCTTAGAGCCTGACATTACAAATGGGACATTCTTCGGGTAACTTAAGAAGTCAGTTGGTGAATCCACACAAATCTCTCCACTGAAGAGAACATGAAAACAGAAAGACTGGGAATAAATAACGTAAACATGTACATACTCTGGGAAAAAGCAGAGAAGGTAGATGCGGAGAGAAGAGAACAACAAGATGCTGGCCGCATGACACACTCTGACCTGAAGACAACACGGAAACCACTTTATCATGACCAGGACACCCTGCACAGACCCTGCCCTCACTTCTCTGATACACGAAGCAACGAGCAAAGGAGTGGGGAAAAATATAAAAACTAAACACCCCACACAGATTTTTTCAATGCACTCAAAACAATATAGCACAGCCAGAATGTATAAACCATTTGTCAAAAAAAATATCTTCTCTGATCGTGTCCGAGCAGGCTGGCCGAGTTCCGTTGCAAGTGCTCGCTCACAGGCGGCTGCTGTCGGGAGTTAGTTTCGCTCTGACTTCTTACTGGCCTGTCTTCCCTCTCCAGGCATGCTGAATAACGGTATTTTTAGTACACTGCTATCTTTCTGAGTCCTAGGAGGGTTATCATGACACTACTGGGGTCATATCCCACAACTGTAAAAAGAAAAAGAAGATCCAGAGGGAATTAAAAGTAAATTGCATTGAGGATAAACAAACAGTCCTTATAACTGAATTCTTCAGCAACTACATACTCTACTAACATGATTCCTGAATCTATAAAATATATTTTCATCATAAACCTTAATATAAAGCTCAAAAGCATGACAATGGGCTGGCATGAAATTCTGACCAGCTGATGGAGCACCCAGGCAGACTAGATCCACTGAAGGGCAGCGATCCAGTCCCTATCCCTTTCCCTATCTCCTCGTTTACTATTGCAAACAATTCCACAGTATCTAATCTTCAAAAATAAAAAGGTTGAAGTTCCCAGGGTTAAAGTCACAGGAGTCAGACAGACTCCAAAGTGGGTTATTTTAACCACCTTCAAGAATGGGACAGGCCTGGGCAGAAGGCAGACTCAGGATGCCATGCAGGCTTATGCCTCTGTTTCTCAGGAATGACTCAGGGCTGGTGGCTTCTGTCCTCAGCCACTGCTATGGCACAGAGTCTGAGTGGTCCACCCTAGCCTCAGAGGGCCTCTGAGGAATAAATGCTCTTGGAGTAACTGGTCTCAGTGGAACGACCTCTCTTATTACCATTTGCTCATTCATGTCCTGTCTTTCATCTACACTCAGTTTGCCCACCTTCCTCTGAAGCCGGGCCCAACAGCACCCTCTGCTCCTCTGTGTCACCGTCTTGGCTGCTGCACATGTGCACACATGACCTATTTGGTTTTTCTCATAAAGACTCTGTCTCAAGCAGATCACCCTTCCCTACAGGCTGGAGCTGCATCTCTTTTGCCTATGGAGAGTCAGCGCCTTGCATGAGGCTGGGCATGTCATAGGTTCGCAAAAATGCCGGCCTCCACGGGCCGCCTTCCCAGCCATGCCTCACATGTCTCAGTGCTCCTGTGTATTCACATAAGGCCAAAGATCAAAGAAGAGCTTTGCAATAAGATGGCGTCTTACCTTAATAACCTTGTCAGTTCCCGAGGTTAGTAACCATCCCCTGGTGGCATCAAAATGCACGTGCACAATGTTGTGTTTACTGTCATGGAACGTTGCTGTGGGTGCCCGTCTGGAAGGAGCAAAGAAAGTTTCCAAGAGTAAAAGGTGGTGACATGAGTGGAGATCTACAATCTTCTGTTCTAACTTTTAGCCTAGTGGCTAAAACTGCTTCAGTATAAGAAATGCTTCTCAGATCTACCTGTATTCCTTGGTGACATGTTACAATTTAAAAAGGAAAATGTAAAAGTATTCTTCTAGTCTCCAAAATGGAAAAGAAACTGAAATCTCTGAAAGTCCTTCTGAAAAATGCATTGCTCTAATGGAGTCTGTGAAAATCTCTACCTGTGCCTTTGAGAAATCTTTGAAAAGTCTCAGTGCTTTTGCTAAGTTGGCGCTCAGAAGGACTTGCCAGTAAACAGTCTACCTTTGCCTATTTAATTAGAAAAAAGTATGTTTGAACAATGCCTTGGATGCGGCCGCCTGCTGCTCCGATTGGAGAGCCTTCCACAGCAAGTCCTTACTTCCTGAGGGGCTGCCACTGCAGGCTAGGTTTCTCTATGGTATTCTAAAGCTTTAGAAGCAAAACAAAAACATAAGCAAACATCATTATTGGCTGCGTGCTTTACAATCTATGTAGTTTTGTTTTAGGGAGAAGGCCTGTCAACTGCCGAGGTGCTGTGGGGCAAGTGCTTCCCGCAGCAGAGCTGGCAGAGGCAGCACAGTGGGAAGAGGCTTGCCGGGGTGGGGGGTGTCGCTCTCATGCTCTAGGCCCCCTCGGCTGCAGAGTGCTCACTGAAGTTGCTTCTCTTTTTCCCCTTTTCCATAGCTAAATCTGTAGGATGGGTCTTTAGTATGTTAAAAAAGTCACTTAAAATTTTTAGAATGGAAGATTTAGGCTTAATTTGTGAGTCCCTTAGACACCCTGAATGTGTGTCTTTATCCATAAAACAAAGAATGTAAACCAAAATATCTCTAAGCCCTCTTGCAGTTCTCCAACTCAGTGAAAAAAACTCTTATTAAATTTATCATGTATGATGAGTGGAAAATAATCAATGAATGAACATAAATGCTTACTTATGCAAGCACATCTTAATTTATATTTGCTTTGATAAAGAAGAATACTTGAAATGATTTTACGGTAATTTAAGGTGCTAGAGACCCTCCTGTTACTCACTGACAGGGAAAACTGCTGCAGAGCCTCTGTTCAGTCTGGGGGCTGCTCTCAGTCAGCCAACGTTAAGAGGCAGCAGGGATCTGTCCCATACGGAGCACACAGGGGTGCAGGAACCTGAGGCCATAGGCTACCAGGCAGGTTTCAGCAGCCACCTGAGTGGTGAGGCAACTGGGAATATTTGTCTCTTAGATAAATCAGCTTAGTTCTTCCCAGAAAATGAAGCCTTCTGGAGCCCACAAGCTGCGGCAAATCCTGTAAAGATAACAGCTTGGGCCGGAAAGAGAACCCTGAGCCCTTGCACTCCCGGGCAGTTCTGAAGTAGATGTGCAGACAGAAGGCTCTGCTCTGAGAGCATCTATTTAAATGCACATGTCCCTGGGATTAGGAAAAACAGAGATGAATTCTTTGAGCCTATTTTTTCTTCTGTCTCACATGACAGCACAAATCAATCTCCTGGTGGCAGAGCCAGAACTCTGCCACTTGCCGTGGTCCATGCTCCAACCCAGCAGGAACAGGAGCAGGGTGAGTCTGAGTGCAGCACTCAGATTAGGCTCCTCCTTAACCAAAGTGGCGAGCAGGTGCTGGGACTTACTCTTCATCTGTGATGGCCTCGTGGCAGCTGTCACAGACCCTCACTTCGAACTCGAAGCCCATCAGCGGGATGGAGGAGCGCTTGGAGCTGCACTTCCCGCACACGGCCTTTCCGCACTTGCGGCAGTGGTGCTGGACAGAAAGAGAACACATGCTGGCTGGCCACATGCTCCCTTGGCCCTCACAGGACCTCCCCGCGCTCTGGCAGAGTCACCCGGTGGAGACACTGAGCATGCGTGCCCCCCAAAGCTAAAAGGAACACACCACGTGTCTCTTGTCTGAGGCCCTGTTATTCAGAACGAGGGCTGCTGGGAGACCCTGTGACTGTGCCGCCTCCCCACTCTCCGTCTTTCCCAAGTGTCACTAGGAACTGCAGAGAAGCGGCCCAGCAGGCGGGTGACCTTGAGAAGAGCCAGCTCTGGGGTGACGCTGCTGGATGAAGGAGAACACGGATTCAATGCACTGACTACACTTTGGCCACACTTCAATCTAGGCAACCTAACATATGATTTCCTTGGGGAAGAACAAATCAAACCATGGAATTAGATTAAAAATGCTGTATTAGAATAGAGAAATAATTGAAACTAAATCAGAAGGAGGAAAAGTAAAACAATTAAGGAGACATAAATACCATTTAAATAATTTCATGGTTTGGTACTAATGTGAGCTAAGGATGATGCCTCTGATTTTAAGGTGTATTTGAACAGAGAGCACCAGAATTCTGAAATCGTATCTCTCAGCTACTTACTGGGAAGCAGTGGTTTTGTAGTGACTACTAACCCAGTAGGCACCATGAAACCTGGACCTAGTAGAAACCAGCTGCAGTAAAGGGAGTGAGCTAAGTGTGGTCACAAGGCCAGGGTCACAGCCTAGCCCGACCCTGACTCTGCCCAGAGGTGCTGTTTCTTCCAGGTCACACAATTATTTACACATGATAACATTTTGATGGAACATACAAGTCACCCACCTGTCTGAGGCCAATTTTCTTACTATCCCACATTTGCTTGAAGTTCCAGAAGAAAGGCTGATCACACTTTTGGCAGGAATCACTGTCCAACCATTCAGGGGTCTTGTCAAATAAAGCACACAATGGGTCCCAGTGAGAAGCAGTGAGGACAGTGGAACCACTGACCCTGGTGACACTCACAGGATCAGGATTTGTTTTTATCAGCAGTTCTCAACCTGTGGGTTGTAACCCCTTTGAGGGTTGAATGACCCTTTCCCCTTTCACAGGGGTCACCTAAGACCATTGGAAAACACATATTTCCAATGGTCTTAGGAACTGAGACACCATTCCTCATGTGTGGGGGTCACTACAACATGAGGAACTGTATTAAACAGTCATGGCATTAGGAAGGTTGAGAACCATTGGTTTATATGAAGCAGATGTATGATTTCTCAGTCAACCATTCAAAAATATTTACTGAATGCCTAGTATATGTCAGGTCCTCAGGATCAGGGAGTTTATAACTTATCAGGGAAGATCAGGTGTGAAAACATGATGAGTAATAATTATTTAAGTAAGTGCAGGTGTGTGAAGGCCTGAGCAGCCGTGCCAAGTGCTGTGGTAGAGGGCAGAAGGACCTGGCCCAGGCCGGGGTTCTCTGACAAACAGTAAGAGGGCTGAGACCCGGGAGGGGCAGGAGGCCATGAGGGCTGTCTGGCAGATAGCAGAACAAGGGTTGAGGCAGGAGGGATGGGTTTGGACAGCCACACTGGGGATTGAGCACTCTCTCTCACAGCCTCTGATTGTGTACAAGGCTATCTAACTGCACATCACACACATAGTTGTCTGTTTTGGAGTGAAAGACCTTGACTACAGTGCGCATATGGGGACGTGCCCACTGCTCACCCATCGCAGGGCTTCCCAGAGTTTGAGGCTCTGATCCTTGCTTCCTATGTCACACCTCATTCTGGCTTTGTTCACAATTTCCTGGCCCCATCATGAGACTCTAAATTATGTTCAGCTTAAAGTTATTCTTTAGCAAATGTTTACAGGTTATGTATACAGTAACTCTGCAGTTGTTCCAGAGTTCCATGTCCAAGAATTCATCATTTGACAGAGAAATTAATCTCTTTCCATATAGCACAGAACCCAAGGAACCTTGAAAAATACATCCAACTCCATGGTTTCCCCAAACTGACTTCTAAGAAATATTTGACTCATAGAGCACTTATTACAAAAGAGGGCTGAAATCAAATAAGTTTGAGAAACATGGTAAATACAGCCCCCTCCCTGAGAGTCATGGTGGACAGGAATACAGGGAAGGCCTTAAGCCCTTTTCTGTTTGGTTTTGGGATTTAGGCAGACATGAACCAAAATTACACATTAAAAAAAAAGTAAAAAGGTGATGTTTTAAAAGGTCAATTCTCAGTCAGTTTATTTACTTATTTAGTCAGGGTCTCACTGTGTCACCTAAACTGGAGTACAATGGCACAAGCAGAACTCACTGTCACCTCAGATTCCTGGGCTCACGTGATCCTCCTGTCTCAGCCTCCTGAATAGCTGGGGCCACAGGCGTGCACCACCATACCTAACTATTTATGTCTTTAAAACCAGAAGTAAGGTTTGATTTACTTTTGTAATTTTCCTGCCCTATTCATTTCAAAGGCAGATTTAATAAAATAATACAAAGTATTTAGCTTAAGAAAATTTTACCCCTAAAAGACTTTGTTATGTTGTGATTTTTTAAGAACTTTATCATGAAAGAAAATCAGGAAGATTTACCAAGGGAAAAAAACTCCAAACCTCAAAACTCACTTGTTATGCAAATAAGCCAAGTGATGCGTCTGGTGTGTCATGAGATTAGGTTTCCTAGGAACTTCTAGTGGCTTGAAAAAACTGAATTATCAACCCACTTCTCATACAAAACATATTAATATGCTGCGCCTTGGAGAATGAAGGGGACAGTATTAATGTTTTCTTATAATTTCTCAACTATCTGCTTATCATCATTAACGACATGGAAAATGCTCAATGTAGAAAAGGAAAAAGGAAAAACCACAGGTTGTTGACCAGCAAGCACAACACAAGTTTAACAGAGACTAAAAGAAGATATTTACAAAATCTATAATTAAAAAAGAACCCCTGCAAATATCTACAATATACAAAGAACCCCTGAAAAGCAACAGGGAAATAAGAAACTGAGAAATTGGCAGAAGACACAAAAGATGAACATGAACTTCACAGACATGGGAGACTGAGTGGCTGACATATGTAAAGAGATTATGCTGATGAGCAGAAAATGGCAATAAAAGTGAAATACTATTTTACCCAGTCTCCAAAAGGCAAAACCAAAAAGAGGATAACAATACTTACTGCTGAGGATGTGAAGTATCAGAAAACTCTCTCTCCTTCACTAGAGGTATAAAGAGGCCTCAGCCCCTAGAGCATAGTGGTGACAGCACTGGCCACATACACCTGGCCTGGGCCAGCTAAACAACAATGACAGTTGCAACAAAAAATAGCTGGGCGTTGTGGTGGGCACCTGTAGTCCCAGCTACTTAGGAGGCTGAGGCAAGAGAATTGCTTAAGCCCAAGAGTTAAAGGTTGCTGTGAACTATGATGCCACGGTACTCTACCAAGAGTGACATAGACTCTGTTTCAAAAAAAAAGAAGTATAAAGGGGTATAGCTGTTTGGTTAGTTAGGAAAATCAAGACTACACCTTCATTCAATCTCACTCTTGGGTCTACGGCCCTGAGGGAGTCTATGAGGGACGTGTAGTCAGAGGTCACGTGGGTGCTGGGTGGGGAAGTGTCTGGCAACCCATGTGCCCTTCACTTGGGGACTGAGCAGTGAAGTATGACTTCTATACACTAGGGGACCCGATAGCACCCCAAGACATACATGGTAGTGGAGGGTAGCTCAAAAAGGGTTCCATGGGAAAAGCTGGCAACAGAACCAGACGTGTAGTACAAGAGCATTTATGTAAAATTTAAAACACACACACTCACAACACAAAGAAGCAAGTATGTATGTTTAAGACACCTATTAAATGCATCACAGTGGGTAGCTATGAGGAGGCAGTGGGAGTACGGATCAGGAAAGGGAAAAAGATACATCGGCCTGTGCGTATGAGTCCATTTATTGTTTAAAAAAACCTTACACACATGTACGTGTGTAGAGAACACCCTAAAGAAAGGTGTTTGCCAACATGTTAAGGGGGGTATTTCTCAGTGGTAGTACCGTATTATGAGCAATTGACATGTTTTCTATTTGCTAACGAGCATTTTGTAAGTTTTTTACAAAGAATAGGTTTATATGTAGTATAGTATATTTAAACTGGTAAAAATTTTGAAAATCCTATTTCATCTACAGGATGTCACCCAATCTGCATTCAGCTGCTCAAGGTTTCCCACCACCTGTCCCGACCGTCCAGCTACCTGCCAGCCTCCCACTGGCAACTATTTCTAAACCACTCACGAGCACGGAGGCACTGCCTGTGACTTTCCCCATTCACCTTGTCCTTATTCCTGGTGTTTCTTGGCTTGCAAAGGCCACCGTGCTCCTGGCCAGAGCACGCCTGCACTCCATCTGTGTTCAGTTCCCTGTCCTTCCATACACTCCTTGCTAGGAACATAACAACCCTTCCAGAATACCCAGCACTTAAGTTACATCAACTGCTATTCCACCATTTATGCCATTTAATAGCATTTTGAAGTTTTCTTCCCTAAGATTGCTCAGTCTGCCTCAGACCTCCCAAGGTGAGCACCACACAGCACTTGCCATAACCAGGAAGCAGCTTCAACTAACTGAGTTGTTAAAAACAACAACAACAACAAATCAGATTTATGTTTATAAATTTGATACTTGTCAAAAATGAACGGAACCATCTCTACTGCTTAGAGATCTGACTCACTCAATGAGATTTTAAATCATTTGACCAGTGATGACTACCTGTATAGCTGCACATCAAGAAGCATAATTTAAACAGGATACTGAAAAACTGAGCATTGACCACCTGGTTTCAACTCTGGAAACCACATAGCTATCCCTCCTGTGGGCCTCTGTCCCTTAAAGGGTGGAGGCTACTCGCACCAAGGTTGTTCTCTGTTTCCCTGATTTCATCAGCGAGGCTTGGAAAGAAGCCAGGACAAACCAGGTATGACTGTCCCTACCACACAAAACAGGTTGCGAAGCAGAACCCAAGCCAGGAAATAGTCATTTGTCCTGTCAGGCCTGGTTAGAACAATGGGGGTGGAGAGTGGGGGTCACTGTACTGATACCTGCCCTTATGCTGATGGTGTCAAGTAGGCTTTTTAAAAAGCAATATTCTACAATTCCCTACTTCCTAACAATAACAATCATTTTGATTAGTTACTAGTAGAACTCCCGTGGATTTACGGTCTAAGCAAATAAAGCTTTAATCTTCCTAAGCATTTAATGACTGGCATTTGAACAGCATTGCATTCTGGGTAAAACAACTACTCTTGAAATGAGACTTGGTGAAGGCATGGAGAGAAGGTGGGAAATCACTTTTGACTTTTTAAAGTGTTGCTTTCCTAATAAATTAGAGGAATGTATATTGTCAATGGGAGAACCTACCCAGAATAATTTGGGGGTAATGGGAAAATGGTTAACTTCAAAGTACTTGTCAAAAGAGATACGCTGTAAATATATTAGTTGTTAAGGAGTTCAAAGATTAAAAAGAAAACTCATAAAAATGAACTTAAAATACATACTTAAAAAACAAAGCATAAAAATTTAGATACGTGCTTATAAAAGACAAACGTATGTATTTCTATATGGGAAACTATTTAGAACATGATTCATAAAGAAGCACAAAAATAACTATTTGTCATATTTCTAGCAATACAAAACTACACATTCTTACTTCACCTTTAGCCACATGAGTTTTCTGGTTTTGTAAGGCATTTTATACCAAAGGGCTAATCACTGGAAAATAGATGGTTCCTTTTTCTTACCTGTACTTTTGCTGTAAATGGTGTAATAGATCTAAACAGCTTAGTCTCAGTCAAAATTCTTCTGAAATCTCCATGACATTCATGTTTCATGCCAATTTGTGAGGGGTTAAAAAAATAGAAACCCCTTTTATGCTATATTTTTAAAATTCTCTGACATTACATATCATATTTCATGGTTTAATCACAAAAGAAATGAGGAATAAGCAGGAGGGGAGGTGGAGCTGGAGCTGCACCAACCTACCTCCTGCCTCTCCACATCCATGTTCCAGACGACAATCCCGCCGTCTCCGCCACAGGAGATGAGCTGCCGCGTGTGCTGTGCGTAGGAGAGGGCCTGGACTCTGTCACTGAGAAAGAAACCCAGGGTTTCAGGACAGCAAATGGTAGAAACTTCACCCAAATGAGCCCATATGCACACTCACTCCTTAGCCCGAAGTGCACATCTTAGACTCCTGACGATTTTCAACACACTGACAGTCAGGACAGCAGCCAAGATTTACAGGAACTCTACAAGCTCCTGTAACATGCGCAGGCCCCAGAAGAGAAAGTCTCTGCCAGTTACCAACAGTAGAGGAGAAAAGCTAATTACTGAACTGGTTCCCTCCTTCCTTAATTCATGACAATCTGTGGCCCACGTTCATTTTGTATTTGTTCATGATTTTACCTTTTAAAAAACTTATCTTTCAGAGTTTTAGAGGCCATCCAGCAAGATGTGCTTTGGATTTTCCCAACAGAGGGAGGACACTGAGTGTCCCTCGTGGGTGTCTTGAGCCCACATGTGCCTTTGGCTCCCAGAGTGAATTCCAAAGCAGTAATAGACTTGAATTTCCCTGACTCTCTATTTCTCTAGTTTTTATCCCCCCTCTCCTGATTTAGTGCTTTATTTTTCTTCTTAGTTCATGTATGGCTGACAGGATATTCCCTCCTAGTGGCAAAAATGATGGAGAATTCAGTTTTATGGTCTGACAATTTGGCAATTGCTTACAATGGATTATAGAGATCTATTCTCTGTTGGTGAGAGAGAACAGGGAATATCTGCTTTCTTGGTCGTTTTTGTTTGTATGTATGTCTATTTTGAGCTTAAATCAATTAAGAATTTTGTACTTATGGGGAAGAATAGCAGCTCTTGCTGCTTGGTTTCTTGACCTATGGCTGAAGTTGCAAAGCTGAAGCTTTAAGCTCTGTGTGGCTGTCATTCAGAAAGTGCTTTATCTCTTGTTGTGTATGGAAGACTTTCCTATTTCCAGAGGGTATTAATAAATTAGATTATAGCACCTTTTAAATTAAAAAGAAAATTGTTCTGATTGACTTAGTATTTGATGTATAAATCAAATACTCCTAATAGTCACAGAAAATAAAGAAAACAAACCCCTAATGTTTTCAATGTGCTAGACTTAAAAATTCCTTTCACAGAAACTGCTAATGGAATCATTGACATTTAGTCATAAAATTAAATCTCATTTGGCAAATGAGAGTAGCATTTTAAGTTTTTAAAAAGTTATATTTTTTTCTGATTTATCAGTGTTAAGTATAATACAAGCAGACACTTTATTTCACTTGGGTTTATTTCTCCTAAATATATTAAGGATAACTGGTCAATAAACTCATATAACCCCACATAATGTTTCAGATTATTGAAAACATACATTTGTGTTCGATGAAATTGAATAATTATTCTGACAGACTTTTTCTATCAACAGTATTTATGTTTTATAGCATATCAACTTAAAGATAATTTTCAAGATCTTTAGGCAGCTTAAGACAGACTAATGTGAGGGTTTTTTCTTTCTCTTTTTTTTTTTTTTATGAGACAGGCTAGAATACCATGGCCTCAGCTTAGCTCACAGCAACCTCAAACTCCTGGGTTCAAGTGATCCTCCTGACTCAGCTTCCCAAGTATCTGGACAGGCACCTAATGTTAACTTGAGCTAATTGATAATAACTGGATCCCTAAATAATTTCTAAGAAAGTTAAAATACAGAACTTTGAATACTAAGTATATTAACTTTATATATGTTTGCTTCTTATTTTTATATGCTATAGTGAGGATATCCTTTCAAGGTTGTGTCATTGAATGAGTTCATTTTTTGTCACTTTAAGGAGATGTAAAAGTGATGTACGTCCCAATAGAAAGCCAGTTAGGGGTGTACACGAGCTCTGCTAGGCTGTCAAATGCGCATGTGTGATAGTTCTCAATTGTCCATATTCCCCCCTTCCTAATTTCCTCTAGGAAATTTAAGTCAGTCACCTTGGATAATGGTTATGATTAAAATGGATTGTTGAGACCACACCAGTTGCAATAATAAAAAAGAAATACAACTGTGTATGCACTTTTGTTTTTAAACAAAAAGAGTAGTTTTGACTTAAAACGGTGGTTCTAGAACTCTTTGGTGGCAGAATCCCTTTATACTTTTAAAACTTGACTGAGGGAACCAAGAGCTTTAGTTTAAATAAGTGGTAACTATTGATATTTATTATATTTTAAATTAAAACGGAGAAATTTAAAAAATAGTGACTCATTTGAAATAGCAACAATGAAGCCATTCTATTTCAACATAAATCACATGTGAAAAATATACTTTCCAGAACAAATCACTTTGATAAGAAAAATAACACTGTTTAATGTTTCTGTGATCTTTCTGATGTCTGGCTTAATCGGAGAGCTGAGTGCTCATCTCTCTCTGCATTTATTATGACAGCACTCGTCAGCTAGCTGCTGGGAGACTCCACAGCAAACTTGTGAGAGAACAAGGGTGAAAAAGGCAATCCTGAAGTGTTGATTTGTTCTGGAATATGAAACAGAGAAATGAAGGACAAAACTCAGAAAGTAAATTTTATTTGCATTGGCTTATAATACTTGACTCTGAAAAAAAGCTATAAAATAGATTACCAGGGTGGCAAAGTTCTCTCAGTTTTGATGGCTCACTTCCTAGAGCCACTGATAATGCCTCGGACCACAACGTGAAGGATGTTCTTTACCTTCTGTGGAAACTGCCAAGTTAGCAGAGACTGTGTGTCTTAGCAGAATTATTTCAGTGCTTTATGTTGATGTGATTAATTTCACTTATTCAAATTAAAAAAAAAAAACAAACACAAAGGGCCCTCCTTTGTGAAAAGAGCTAAATTCTTTAAAATTGTGTTATTTTCTATGTTTATTTTAAGGTGTTGTATTGCTTTGATTATACAGATAATGAGGCATTGTTTCTTAAGCACCGGTGCTCATATCTTAACCATGGACACAAAATTCCTCTGACAATTCTTTTGGTTTTATCTTTCCAAACTGAAGCTTCGATGTTGAAAAAATAAAACTTTTAGGCTGTGTTTTACATCTAAAGGTCTCTTTAGGATTTCTCAGAGAGGTCCTGGAAAACCATAAAGATTTGTCCCTGCCCCTTACAAAGCAAGAGATGCTATAAGTAACTGCACTTGCTGGGTGCAGGTGTTGCTACTGGAAGAGTGGCCAGAGCAGAAGGGACGCTCAGCCTTCCCTCCGTTAAGTCAGTTTAAGAAAAATTTCTTGATATAAATATTTCAGAACCTGTCTGTTTTACTGGAAGACTGTAGAGACTTGCCAATGTCACTGTTGTCTATATTTTTATCCTCAGGGAAAATACTGATCAAAACTCAGGAAATAGTTCTGTAGTATATCCCAACAGACAATTTTATTCTTGTGTATTCTAATATTATTGGTCACAGTGACAAGCTAACCATCGAGCCACTAAGTCTCCACAGTCTACAGAGTCAGTCATTGCTCTGATCCCTGCCCCAAGGCTCTGCTATATAAGCAGGGTCTTTGACTTTAGCAAGGACAGCCTCAGAGTCTCATGGGAAGGGACTGTATGTACTGGGTATTTTAAAAGACGAGTATTTCAAGGAACAGACTCTTGGGCATTGGCTGCAGAGCTAACATTGCTTAGATAATTTTTAAGCTGTGTCAGTGGATCGAAAGAGGGTTTCTTTGGATTTCTAGACTCTATTTAGTCTGGGTACAGATGGCTTCATGAATGTGGACTGCTAAACCAAGAGCCATCAGAACGAAATTAATTACAGTTCATTTACAGGACTGAATGAACTGAAGAGGGAAATGTTATTCTGGTTATTTGTCTGGAATACTGTGGATGTTTTAATGTCCTATTTTTTGGTTATATAAGGATGCCTCTTCTCTTACTTTTTAAGTTATCTCCAATCTAGAATTTAGTAAACTCTGCTTTTATAAACTAAATCAAAATGTTGAAAAATGATGTTCAGATATCTTCCCTGCCCAGAATTTAAAAACTGTTCCTAAGTCTCCTTAATTTTCATAGCAGTATAGTTATTTGCATAGCGTCTCTGAAAATCTGTCCACAGACATAAATATGCAAATCCATTGTACAACCAGGCCCTTACCTGCAGTGTCAGACCTGAGAGTGCTGTGCAGGGAATCAGGTGTAATGAGCTCAGGGAGCCAAGACCTACAAAGGCCTCCCAGAAAACCAGCCCATTACCTGGTTTGTAGGGTTTGCAGGGGAGTCTAGCAAATGCTGGAAACCTCAAGGAATTCAACCAAGGCTGTAAGTACTACAGGTGAAATATAGTGGAGAGTTTCTCTGTTTCTTAACCCTGTCATATAGTAAACAACAGAGGCTTTGAAAAATACAACCCAAAATCCCTTATAAAACTTCCAGAAGTTAATTTTGTGAGACTGATAGTTGTTGAATACTCTGTGGCTCTAGACACAGCAAACCAAGCCTGCCTATATGGTTAATTAATACTCTTACTGTACCATTGGAAACAATTAGGCCATAGCAGCCTATTTTTGTAATCAAGGATAATTATGTTCAAGGGGGGGAGAGGAAAACACTGCTGGGTAGACTAAAAGACTTGAAATTGGCAAAAAGTAGCTTTTCAGTGAAATATTAGGTGTTGACCCTTTCTGGATTATTTGATCCCATAGGGGTCTACACCTTTCAGTATCTTTGCCTTTATAACTCACACCTCTGCAAGTTATAGAAAACTGACATTATTGTAAACAAGTATTGTCCACTGGAGATGAAACTGCTCCCCACGTGCCACCCCGCCCTGGGAGGCGCAGCTGTGCACCTGCTGACAAGCTCCTGTTCTCAACCTGTTACAAACGGAACAAAGGGGTTGGGACCCACAGGTTGAGAACCGCTGCTCTACTCAATGTCTACTCTGGATTCTCCTTTAAACTGGATGTGACATCTTACTGGTTCTCTTATTAATTAATGACTAATATAAAATCTTTGACATGTATTCATTTTAAAAATCAACTGTTTTCTCACCTTCTCTCCTGGTTGTTATTTTGCACTTAAAGTGTGGAGTGCCATCAATCCGACACCGAGGGCAA